TATTTTAAGAATAAGTAAAATAAATTTAAATAAAAGTGAAGAAAATATTTGGAATGTGTTAGGAAGAATTGGAATTATTTCTTCTTTAGTCATTTAGTAAAATTCAGTACTTATTTCATCAAATTCTTTTCTTTTAGAGAGAGAGAGTCCTTTTAATGCTGATTCATTTTCATTACTAATCATAGCTCTGTTTCAATTTTTTTTTATTCACGTTTGTCAAATTATAAGTGTTCAGGAATTTATCCATTTTTGTAGGCTTATATTTAACTATAGCTGCAGAAAACAAACTAATGAACCTGGATCACATAGCATCTCTATCTGAAGTTTCATTAGGAGACTCCTTACAGTTTTTCATAAGATAAACATAGTTTTGTCTATAATAATTCACATCCCCTCCAACAATGCACTAGGGTTTCATTTCTTCAATGTACTTTACAACACTTGCTATTATTTATCTTGTTAAAAGTCATTGCAACAGATGTCATAGTATTATTTGATGAAATGAACATCTTTTGTCCACTAAATACTGTGTTACACTGTGTAAAAAGTAAATTGCACATATGTGTATGGGCCTGTTTCTAGTTATAGTAGTGCAGTGAAGATATTTTGACTTATTAGAATCAATTATCCTCTGTTTACTCAAAGTCAGGATCATTTTCTTAGCAGAGAGGATGGATTTGTTATATTGATACCAAATTTAAAAAGATGAAGTTCTACGGTGGATGCAACATCAGCTCCTGCCCAATAATTCCTGGCTGCTCTTTCTGATGTCCTGTTCTGTGTGCCTCAGAAACCACTGATCTCCTATCTCCTTGCCTGAGAGATCAGGAAATGAAGGCAAAACGGTGTACAATTGGGACTCCATAGGAGACAGGGAAGGAGGGGATTCTGTGACAGTCAGATGAGCACAATCAGTTCTGACATCACATCCCACATTAAGAAAGCAATGGTCTGGGGATGTAAGCTCAGTGGCATAAGTGCCTGCCTGGCAAGTGCAGGTCCTAAGTTTGATTCCTGGTACCAGAAGAAAAGAAAAGAAAAGAGAAGAAGAAGAAGGAGGAGAGGGAAGAGGAGGAGGAGGAGGAGGAGGAGAAGAATTTGGAAAGAGTGAGTGTTCTGCACAAGAATCAGTGAGGAATATTCTTAAGCTGTCACCTGGAGTAGGTAGATGGCACATCTGAGCATCTTCTGAGCTTCAAGTAAATCCTGAGCCATAGGATTAAAATCAGAGAC